GTTGGAGCCCTTCGTCACGCATAGCATCCCCTTGCGAACGCACCTTGACTTCGCCGTCCTGTCCGCCCGAGACTAGGGTGTGGCTGTTTGGCTGAAAGTCAACGCTAAGAACAGGTTCTTTTCCATGCCAGACAATCTGCAACGTCTTCAGCTGCATAGAGACAAGGCTCGCTGCACTTCTGTTTCCAAAACAGGTCCGTCAAGCTTGCTACGCGGTCAGCACTGAAGCCATAGGATGAAGTTGCAAATGTATCGAGGCCAATTGATTTTGATAAGCAGTACAGGGCTGCCGCAAGTCCTTCAAACACAGCGTGCAGCTTAAGAAATCCGCGGACGCTAAAACTTTGGCCAGTAATATCTGCGTCACACTGGAGCGGCGGTGCTAAGAAAAGGTAGTGACAGAAAGACCTGCATCCAAATCGGTCACTTGCCGGCTATGCTAGCGCGCCAATTCGGATGTACGACATGTACGCTTTCCTTTTGGCTGTTATAGAAGCGGAGGTAACACATTGCAGTCTTTATACGATGATCAATGAAAGGCACCACCCGGCTCAATTTGGAGGTCCGGATGAGATGCTTGGTTTTGTAAATTTGGCAGACCGGCTGGTGGTACTTACTAGGGCATAGATTACTAGCCGAGAATAGAGGTGCAGCAGATGAGGCGCTAAATGTGACTGCAAAGCCTTCACGGCCTTTAACAGCTGATAAGGTCGCTGCAGTACTGGAAGGCCTAACGAGTAGCATGTATAGCAGCTGTCTCGCGAACTGAAAAGGCGTCCAGCGGCTGTGAACGGTTTGCCAGGCGGCTACACAGTCGTAGCGAGAGCCTGCTTAATCTCTGTACTGTACTGCATGTACTACAGGTAAAGGAGCGCGTTCGTGTGGAGCGCGTTCGTGTTCTGTGTACAAGCGTACATGTCAGACACAACGAGGATTGCAGCTGGCGACGCGCGAGGAAAGTGCTACGCATCGGTTCTGGAGCGGGGCCGAGAAGCTGAATCTATGCCGTGCAGCTTTGGGCCGCAATCATAGCCTGGGCGCGCAGCATTAACATCTTGCGTTGCGCACTTCGCCGACCGGTAATGATATGCCAGATCAGCACGATTTAATAATGTATTATGTTAGTGAAGTTTAACAGTGATACAGGGAACGTTTTCAATCCAAACAAGGTCTTAAGCAGGGATGCCGCCTCAGCACTGAGTTGTTCGGGTTGCTTAGCGAATTTCTTGCGGACATGTTAGAAGAGAATGAGAGAGAAGAGCGCCGTCGAGTTTTGATGGCCCCTACATCGACGGCGACGCAGTATCACTATTGCATTATACTGATGACGACAGCCTTCTGGCTACTCTCTCAGAACGCATGCAACCCCTGCTCGATATTAGATATGGGTTTTCAGCTCGTTCGGGGCTTAAGCCTTACGTCGATCTTATGTTTTTTGCCCACTGCAAGCAAACCGAAAGCGCGGGCCTAGGGGACTGTGCCGGCCTGCGGCTGGAAGGAGAGGCCACCTACGGGGCGCCTCGGTACTTCGGCTTAGCCTACGGACCGGACAAAGCCTTTCCTACTAGTCCAACGGCCCTCACCGAGGACGAGTGGGGTGCTATGCCCGGCTTATTAGCCAAGCTAAACAGGCTTCTGACCTAGATCTGGCATGCAACTCTACCGCAGGATGTCCTCTTGGCGTTGGGGCACTCACAGGTGGTTGGGCGTCCAAGCTGTTCCGCTTTTTGGAGACCTTACATTTTGGTGTGTGGGATGGATTACCGGCTGGGGCTACAATCGGTAACAGGAAGGTAGAGTGGCGACACCTGACAACCCAGCCTGGAGGGGCCAACCCTTACTGAGCTCCGTCACCAGTTCGTGTCGTCATGGAACCACGGGAGGCTGTCTGCAGTACTTCGCTTCGGACGGGGCATTAGGATGGCTAAATACAGGCACTGGATGGGGTTACCGTTTGAGGAAGCGGCTGGAGCAAGCTGGTTGCCGCGTGCCAGTATGTTTATCCCTGTTAATGCATCGGTTGTTCGTTTATGCTGCTGGCCGTCAGAAGCAAATAAACACTATTGTTCAGAAATGATAGGGATTATTGTGCCATTAAGATCCGAGCCATAAACAGCGGCGGGGTCACCTGAGTTGAGTACCAAGTCACACAACCTGTTTCCCGCGCTTAAGGATGAGACTTGCAGGCGCGCACAAGGGGTATAGCAATGCCGTTCCGAGGCAAGAGACCGTTACAGGATCCGGAGCAGTCTTGTAAGCTCTGCATAGGAACTGCCCATTCCATTACTTCCCCTTCCCATTGCATTAGCTTCCGAAACACGGACGTGCAACTTAATCGCCCTGGCATTAGTGCCTTCACCACCCAACACGCGCCACATTGGTAAACCTCCAGCTACAGCCAGTACGGATGGCCCCGTCACTCGATTGGGCACCTACTACTTGAAAACCACCGCGGCCACACAGTGACGCCTCTTTGGGAGAGCATCCCCAACCAGACGGTGTTAGCAACCAACACCATCGGAGCCCCAGCAGCTGAATAAAGTTACATCGCTGCGACACGCTCTTCTCGAGCCGCTTGACTGCCTTCCAAACCAACTCTACCAACTAACACCGCTGCCTCCGCAGCCATAACAACCGCGGGCGCACAGCACCCGCTGCTGCTGAGAAGATCAGCCACGGCGTCGAGACAGGCGCCAGGCGTTCGGGTCGTTGTACCTGTCGTACAGCGGCTCAATGCGCTCAAAGCGCTTGCGGCGGGACAGCTTGTTGGGGTCGGCAGGCCTGCAGCGGAAAGCAAGGAAGAACCAGCATTGCCACAAGAGTGTCTCGCCAGGCAATCCATTAAGAGGCGGAACGGCGGATATGAACGACGAGAGGTAATGCGGAGAAGGGCAGATCTAAAAGTGCCACGGAGCCGGACATGGTGCTGATGAGAATGCAACGCGCCAGCCCGCAGCCCTAACCACAAAGTCATTGGAAGAGCCCCCAACCGCCGCCCAGCCTCCGAGCCCACCCAGAAGCATAAGCACCCCATCCGGCCATGGGGCCCCAAATGACCCCTAACGTTGCAACTCCCTCTCCTGTCCTGTCCTCCTGTGCAACCCACGCACTTGAAGAATCGCGGCGCCAGCTCGGGCAGCCAGCGCGGGTCAATGGCCAGCACCTCCCGCATGTACTCCTTAGTGGTGAGGATGAGCTCGTGATAAAGTACCCAGTCAGGCTGCTGCTGGAAGAGCGAGGAGGAGGGGTGGATGTACACGGGCTGCTGCTCCACCACCGTCTTGTACCCCTCCTGAGGGTCCTTGCGCGCTCTGCGGCCATGGAGTGTGGGCGCACGACATCCATTCCATTCCGGACAGAGGTGGGCTCACAACGTCGGCAAGCAGATAAGTGGCGGGAAGGATTGCGAAACAGAGGTGCGTGCGCAACAAAAGCAGTAGAGGAAACAGGACAGGATGGAGCAGAGTGACAGTTCCTGTTCGCGGACCATTCTGCCTTAAAATGGAAGTAGCAATCCCTGCACTTACGTGTGGAAGAAGAAGCCAGAGGTGATGGCCTTGCAGATCTTGGTGTAGTTGCGACCTGCCGAAACCTGTGGTGGAAAACAATGGGCAAATTATTGCCGAGAAGGGAAGCAGAGCAGTGCAGCATCGCCATGGCGCTTTGCATACCAAGTCCTGTCGTTATTCAAGACGCTGCAGCGGCCTCAACTTCTGGTCCATTAACCTTTCCTCCAAATGCTTGAGGCTAGAGAATCGCTTGTTTAGCCGCGGCACACCTCCTCCCTGCCGTTTCGCTCTACCCCTGGGCCCATGGCGTACCTGCTCGAGCTTGTACCGGTCCATAATGGCGAGTAGCTGCTTCCTCACGTCCTGAGCCCGCTTCATGGAACGATCCTGTGGGCGGAGGGGCCTTGTGAAGTGAGCGAGACACGCGATAATGTGGCAGTATCAGTGCAGCGGCGGCGGGTGACACAGACTGAGACCATTTGACAAAACAGGGCAACCACAAGTAGGAGGTCGCACAGGAAAACGACTCAATCACATCCCAATCAAAATCACGAGGTACACCGAGGTGCGCACCTGGATAAAGTTCTCCTTGCACCACGGCACGCTGAACTTGTTCGCCTTCCATTGCTCGTACACAGCCAACAGCGTCAAATGGTCGCCTTCTGGCTGATAGAACTTCGCCTTGCGTTGGTCAGCCTGGAAGGAAAAGGCCGGGCTTATTGGCAACCAGTGCGATGCAAGAGACCAAACGAATGCAACGGAAAGTGCGACTGTGCCGCTCCGCCATCACGAGGCCGGACAGACGACGTATTGCGCATCGAATTGGCTGTGCGAATCACAGCATGCCGCCTAGCATCAACACCTCGCGAGGCCGGAGCTTGCAGGACGGGACGTTTTGGTGGTGCACCGTGCACCGTACCGACACCAAAACCGAGGGACAGGATGATGAGCACTACAAACACCACCGGCAGGGGAGTCACACAGCCCGCTGGGCCCTGTGTGCAACATGTAACTAGGGGGGTTCCAACACGCAGAGGGGCTCTCCCAGTGCTTAAGCACACAGAGCGGTTAGCACGCACCTGGGCCTGCTTCTCCCTAGGCCGGTAGAATATGTTTTGGGCGGATAGCATGGCCAGGATGGTGAGGATCTCCTCACTGCAGCCCAGGTCCACAGAGGCGATAAGGACCTGGGAGGGAGAGAAGCACAAGTTGGGTCAAAGTACGGCGGGGAGAGGACGAGGACAGAGCAAGGGGAGGAAGGACGGAGCAAGTCCAGGAACACATCCCTTACGTCCAACACCGCCGTAATTGCCTCCACCGCACTGCCGCACCTTGCTCATGGGCGGCTCCAACGGGAACTCCGCCATCTTGCGTCCCAGCTTGGTCAGCAAGCCCTGGATGGGGAGGCAGGGAAGACAATGCAGGACAGAGTTGGAATTTCCAATGTCAATTGCTGTCCGGAGCCGCGGATGCGAGCGTTAAGAATGGGCAACAATAGAACAGCTCCGTCAAGATCACAGGTATCACAGGAAGCACCTGTGCAACCTGACATCGCCGTGTGCGCCTGACTCCGCCACGAGAACTGCACAGCTAGTGCGGTGAAATTAAACAGCCATCCGCATCCTAATCAGGGCTCCTGCAGCGACAATTCGCGAGCCTCTAGGCTTCGCTCTTTCCACGTACAGTTCCGTGAGGCCCGTTCCACGTGCCTCGCACATTCCCATCAACGGCAGCAGATCCCCCCGCCGACCCTCACCTCTTCATCTAGCGCCCCCAGGTTGTAGAGCTGCTCCAAGGCGGATATGAGGGTGGAGGCGGGCGGAGGGTCCATAAAGTCGAACCCGAGCAGGTCGTTGATGCCCATGGCCTTCAACGTGAGGACGGTCCTGCACACGCCAGCGGCGACGGGAATGGCGACGGTTATGGGATGGCTTTTCTTGTGACAATCGGCTTACGGTGACAAGTCCCAGAAATTTTAAAATGGAAAGTCTAGACCTTCCCCTCTCCTTATCTTCCCAGGTGCCTCCACCAACCCCCACTGTCATGTGAACACTGAGATAGATACCAAAACGGCCACCTCCATCCCCCGGTCCCACGTCCGCCTCCCCACTCCACCTCAAAGTCTACTCACATGGCCAAGTTGGTTCGCTGAATCTCCGGTACGCTCAGCGGGAGCATCTCGTTCTTGTAGGCCGCCTCCGTGTATAGCCGATAACATTTGCCGGGGCCTGTACGGCCAGCACGACCCGCCCGCTGCTTGGCTGAAGCTTGGCTAATGGGAGCCACCACCAGAGAGTCCATGCCGTTCTTGGGGTTGAACACCTGTGGCGGTAGCCACCAGTTGCGAGCTTCAGAGTGTCTGGAAGTCAATAGTCCTCAACGATTGCGAAGAACAGTATCAGTCCGCCAACCACCATCAGCACCAGAGCTGCCGCATGTAGGACCCGCCGATAGCAGTGGGCAATATGGCATGAAAACCACGTTGGAGCTGGTGTTCCAAAGTACACGGCCACGTCATCACGTATGGATTTCCCACGCCTCGCTACAAGCCACTATATCCTCGCTCCTGTGCGTGTACCGGCAGGCCCGGAAAACAACCGCAATTGGTGTCACCACCGACGCACCTTCATTTTCGCAAAGCCCGGGTCAACGACATAATAGATGCCGTCAATGGTCAGGGAGGCCTCCGCGATGTTAGTGGCCACCACGCACTTGCGCTTGCCGGGCGGGGCGGGCTCAAAGATGCGCGTCTGCAATGCAGCCGAAGGAATAGCATCCGTCAAAAAGGACCAGGGCCACCGTAGCGAAGGTTGCGCTGGGGGCCTGCCTACGTCGCTATAGCGCCGCCTACGCCGCAAGGCTGTTTCGAACTTGGATGGACCGGGGGGGTCTTTCAAGGACGGGTCTCATCTTTCCGCCACCTTTGCGTGTCAGCCATCGCTGCCAATAATGTCCAATTAATCCCTTTCTCACCAATCGTTTTATAGGAAACCTCAACCCACACCGGCGCTGATGCGTCGTCACCTTCACTGTCACCGCGTTCCGGGTTTAGCGAATTAAACGGACTGTCACGCGCGGAATCAAGCCGCTCCGCCTTTACCCCGACGACTCATTTGCCTCTACACCAGTTCTACACCGCCCCACTACATCGCATTGCAAACTACAGACTACCGCCTCTCAACAATCAAAGTAAGATAAACAGCGCGCACCTGGATTTCGGAGGGCAGCGCAGAGAACACTGGCAGTACGATAAGCTCCGGAACCGCGGGGCCCAGTGCCTTGATGCGCTCGTACAGGATCTGGCAAGCCGTCTCGATTTCTTCCTGACCCGTCAGGAATAGCAGGAGGTCGCCTTCGGGCTCGGACAGATGGATCTGCAACACTGTAATCAGCGCCGCATCCAGGTAGTCAGGCTCCGGAGCCTGCCAAAAGTGGATGATCGTGGACGGCATGGAGAGGCGGTACAAACGTTGGGAAAACAGACGGAGCCAAAACACGGCCGTTGAGCTGCAGGACAAAAGCATAAGCCGGCGCGCATCACGCAACGGGCTCGGCAGAGGCCTTGAAGTTGACGTCCAACCGGGGGAAGATACTACCAAGCCACGTACAGCAACAGGGCGGAGGAACCACAATGGAAAGATGCCAAAATATTGCAAACAAGAAATGCCACATCCTTAAGCCTCACAGCTTCACAGCCATTGAATTCCAACATCCACAGCTGCACTTGCAACCCCATACAACCCGCTTGTCTGCAAACCACAAGGCCCCAGGGCCCAAGCCGTCGGCGATTTGCCCCGCTCATTCCGCACCTTGGTGTACAGCACCTCCACGGGGTAGGTACGACCCGGGATAGTGAAGATGGGTGCATCGAAGAAGTAAGAGGAAAACTTCTCCGCATCAAGGGTGGCGGAGGTGACGATGAGCTTGAAGTCGGTGCGCTTGCGGCAGACCTGGCGGCCCGATAGACCACCCCAAGAGCGAGAGGGCCCCCGAGGGAGGGAAGCCGGGTTAGGGAAAGAGTCATCCACACCCAAGCCATCCAAGTGAAAATATCGCTGTCGGTGGTTACACACATTCACACTCCGCCCATTTATCTCCCGGATTGGAGGGAGAGCAGTGCCTCACCGGCCACATGTGTGCGCCCACACCCTCTCGAGCAGCAGGCTGAGAACTGCGCACCCCCCCCTGAACACCATGGCATGCGTCACCGAGTCCAGTCCCATCCGCCGGCGCCTCACCGACCCAGCCGCCTACCCAACCCGCAGCTCCGCACCTCCTTCATGAGGCCAAACAGCACGTCGGTGTGGATGGTTCGCTCGTGCGCCTCATCCAGCACAACGACCGAGTACTGGCTGAGCGCTTCATCCAGGAGGCACTCGCGGAGCAGCATACCGTCCGTCATGTACTTGATGACGGTTTCAGGGCCGGTGCAGTCCTCGAAACGGATGGCGTAACCCACCTATGTGAGGCCGGGAGACGCGGACAGAGGCGTGAAGCCAGCAGTACGAATATGAACCTCGGATCAAGCAGAAAATGACGGCATAAACTAGAATAGAACCGGAGGACAGTTCCAAGCTTCCAACATTCTAGCGCTGGCCATTAGGAGGTCGTGTCAAGCGGCCCTACGTTACAATCTCTTTGATGCCTTGCTTTCCGTCCTTCTTTGCGTTTTTTGCGTAGCTTTTCCTCTGCCAGATCTCACAATGTGTCCTGGACGCCCTGAAAAGGTTATGCCTCCTCTGAAACACAAAGCAGTCAGCCCAGGACGCATCGCGCACCCAGACGTACCCAGGATCCTCCACCACCACCACCACCACCACCACCCCTACCACCACCATAAGAACAACTCCCACCCGGACAACACGCACCTCCTCGCCCAGGCGGCATCCAAACTCCTCCGCGACGCGTTTCGCCACGCTCATTGCCGCCACACGACGCGGCTGCGTGCAGCCAATCTTGCCACCAGCCGTGTACCCCGCCTCCGCCAGGTACTGCGTCATCTGGGTGGTCTTGCCGCTGCCCGTCTCGCCGATCACCACCAGGACCTGGCCACCAGCGTGTGGGGGGCACCAGTTGAGTTAGGATGACCCTTCATGCAGCCGTCGCAGTGCAACAAACAGTCGAACAACCACAGCAAAGCCCCGAGTGGCAACGGCGCCGCGAACAAAGCCCAACCTCGCTCTGGCAGGTCTGCAGGATAAGACCAAGCCATACCCTTCTGGCTTGACGAAGCCGCGAAAACCCTTCAACCCTAATTCCTAGCGCGCCTGCTCCCGTCCCGCCTTCTCAAGCCCCTCTCCTCCCTCCTTCCCGCTCAACGAACGCAACCCATTACAGCGACAGAGCATCTCCCGATGGGTGGCCGCACCCACCCACCCGCCCACCCACCTGGTTATCCCGCACGGCCTCAATCAGCTGCTGCTTCAGTTTGAAGATCGGCAAGCTCTCGCGCTGCTCCTTGATGCTTCGTGCGTCCTACGTGGAGGAGGAGGGGCAGTTGGGGAGGAGGCTCGCGGGTTGGGTGAAGGAGAACGATTTCGCTGCTTACATTCGGGGTTGGGGAGAATCAGAGGGGCCGACACGCGCGCATAAATTAGGTACAGAAGGGGACCGCTAGGCAGTTGCCAAGGTGCAATCCGAGGACGTGCAAGTAGTCAATGAACCTGAGAGCCTGACTCTCTGCCACAATCAACTCGTCGAAACGTACGCAAGGTGCCCAGGGCAAAAAAGCGTCATTGCCCGTCCACCACCGTTGCCCGCCAAACCCGTTGCCAACCTGCCAGGCCCCTCGCCACGCCACGCAACACAGCCTCACCTGAATGCCGTAGCTGATGGCCTTACCCATGGCCGCCTTCTTCCACTCGGGCACCTCGCTCTGAGTCAGACCGATGCCGCGAAGCTCCTGAGCCAGGGCACGTTCACCTAAGGGCCGGCCGGGTCGAGAAGCACAGGCACAAGCCAGATTTGGTTTTGTGGGTTTAGAGAGGGTATAAGGTTCCGTGTGGGATGGCAAGGCCGATCGCGGCGGGAAGCCCCCATCCAGGCGATCACCTGCCAATTCTGCGCCTCCAATTCGGAACCGGGAAGGGGCGGGGGCGGGGTCGCAACAGGCTGCTTGACACACCAGCCACAAGCCATAACCCTCCGTAAGTGAATAGCCCTTCTACTGCCGAAACAAGCGCAACTGCATGACTCTCCGTCGCCCAGCTTTACCTCTGTCCAAGTCTGCACAGTTCCCCTCTCGCAATTACACACATGCACATGCACACTGCGCATTCCCTTGCACTGCAAACCAAACCATCGTCATCGGAAGAGTGGTCCCCCATAGATAGATAGAAGCCCTAGTAGATCCGGTAGAAGCCTGAGCTGACATAAAGGACTCGACCCACTGAGTCCGGAACGACGGAACAACTGCACCGTTTCCCTCCCGCACCGCAACCTACTGGGATCCGCCATGGGGTCCTCCCAGGGCCGACTGAGGTCCTTGGGAATGGCCTCCAGCAGGGTGCGCTGCTGCTGCTCCTTCAGTTCGCGGCGCTCCTTGGCCAGAGCAGACTGCGTCATGGCGGCGCGCTGCAGCGAGCCGTCCGGGTTCTTGACGATTTTTACGGGGCTCATCTCGATGCCCGAACGCGTGCCGGCGCCCTAAGGAACGACATAAGAACGGAACGAACACATCAGGAGGTCGGAGATTCGGAGAGAACAGCGGGTTTCCTGACGTGAGCCATCCGCGGAATGGGTATGGGGTCGGAGAAGTAGTCGAAAAAAGAAGGCCGCAGCGGTTGCGTCGAGGGGCGAGCGAGCGAACGGGGAGTGGATGCAGGACGGCTTGTACACAGCAGCACTGCAGCACGTACGCAGGTGTCGGGCATCTAAAAGGAAATTAAGTGCCCTTAAGCTCATCCACCGGCCGCCTGCAACCACACACGCATAATCGCACCTTTAAGAACTGCGGCTCCATCTCGTTGAGATCAATCTCAAACTCCTCCGCCTCGGACGGGTCGGTGGCCGATGCCAACACACCCAATCCGCTGTCCTCATCGTAGTGGGCATACTCGCGCACGTCCAGCACACCTTCCCGTAGGAGCCGGGCGGGGGTGACAAGGATTTGGACAAGTAGGTTTGCGCCGTTGAGGTAATCACAGCAACAAAGAGCCACTACGTACCGGGATACACACCAACAGGTTGCCGGGAGCAGTGCCCGTACTAAACCGCACCAGCACGTTACTCCTCAACACCACTCCCCTCACGCTCGGGGCTTCTCTCTTCCACGCAAGCACAGCCCAACCCAGTTTCCCCAGCCACTCACTCTCAATCCCTGGTAATGCAATCAAGCGAGCAAATAATTGGGTCCACGCCTGCTCACCTGATGAAATCAGCTGCTTGCTCTCCCACATCTCATACTCTGTGAGCTTCTTGCCGCGGCGTCGAGGGTTGGGATCGTCGTCCTCGGGGTTCACCTGCAGGCAGGGAGCAGCATCAGTGATCCGTATGTCGTTGAGAAGAAGAGAAGTGCTGCAACCTCTCAATCTGTCAATCCTTCCCGTGTCTGGACCTGGTAAGTTTCCCAGTGTTGAGTCAAATTAAGCCGCAGGCTTCACGCCTGGTGGTGCCCTTCCGTCAATTCCTTTAAGTTTCAGCCTTGCGACCATACTCCCCCCGGAACCCAAAAACGGAACCCCCGTACCCATGTTGGGCCCTGAGGCCATGGACTGGGTTCGAGGCAGTACAATCCATGACAGGGCGGCTAGGCTACCGGATAAGCCCGCACGCTTTGCTGACCCCATGCGCACCGCCCGCTGCACAACCCAAGGCTTGCCAATCCGGGACGAGCCAGGGAACAAGCCCTTGTATGGCCTTGACCTGGGACAGCCTCTGTGCTGTCCAGTATTCACGTCAAGCCACATCCGCCCCCACATGCGGAACAAGGATGAGCGCCAAGCAGACCGGCCCGACATCCAGCCACTTCGACTGACATTCAGGACTGCTGCTTGCCGCCACCTTCAGGGACGGACATTCTTTGTGGACAAGACCAAGACGGATCACATCTTGCACAAGGCGACACTTGCCTTAATTCCGGACATGCCCTTGAGGCCGCTCGCCAGCTTGCCCTCCCCGTCCGCGCCCGGCAGCAAGTGCGTCGGCAGCAGGTCCTTGCCGGTGGCCTGGTCCACGTCGCGCATGGACAGAGACAACCGCTGTTGTCCATTGGCGCCCACGCTCCCCATGCCGATTACCTGCGGCGATCGGCAAGAGAGCGGGCGGACGGGAGGTGCAATAACCTCAATAGTTGCCTCGATCGTTCGTGCAGGCCTCGTCATCCACCACATAGATCCCGCTGCACGATGTTACATTACTCTTTCACTCCTCTGGAAACATGCCGGATAATGCGTAAGAATCCAGGGAGTCAGCGAACCGGAAACCGTTCGACGGTTTTCCGTGTCCTAAGCTTAATGCAGGAATGCAATCCCCCTCAACACTTTCGCACACTCACCTTGACCCACACCTCCTCGCCACGCTTGACCACGTCCGTGGGAGACTGAATGGGCTTCTTACAGATGTTCGCGATGTGCACCAGACCCTCCATCTGTCGGGAAAACAGGGGGGAAAAGGGCGGACGTGATAGAATGGAAGCGGCATGGACGAAAACCGCATCCCACACTGTGTATCTTACCTTCTTAGCAAAGTTGATCAGCTCCACAAAGCAGCCCGTGCCCATGGTCCCCGTCACGCGGCCTCGGTACACGCCGCCCAGCTCGGGCGCGTCGGGCAGCGCAGGACGCTTGGGTGGAGGGGGCGGGTAAGCGAAACCGTCGCGGTCGCGGCCGCTCGGCCCTGCGCCGCCGCCATCACGCGGGTCCATGTCCATTTGGTCACTGCACGCGTGCGCCCGAAATGCGGAGCCGACGGAGTGAGGAAGACAAGTCGGAACGGCGGGACATTCGAGATGTGCGGGAAGCGGGAGAGTGGAGTTGCCGTTGGGAAGTGGGGAGAGTCATCTGGGTCCCACCGGTAGCCCCAATCAGCAACTGGCGCAGGGTGGGTCCACCCAGCGTTACATCATCCACCAGTGAAAGACGCACACAACAGCCTTGCACTCCAGTTACTGAAAAAAGCACCTTCCCTTGCTTTATTATACAACCGCAGGCTTTTCCAATCAACAAGTCCCTGTTGCACGTTCTCTTGACGCAAGCCGCGCGCGGACGAATTACACCTCGCACGCCCATCACGAAGCAAACGCGGCCTCCAACAGCACCGCTCCTGCCGGGGCCCCATATTCCTATTCGCTCACACGATCCACCCCCAAATTGCACGCGGTCGCATAGCCCGTTGTTGCCGCACTTGACGTGTCGCACGTCGCGGAAAGCCTCAGCTCCGTATAGGACTCCAGTCCCAATCCTAACCCCTGCCGCACCTTCGCCGCTTCCGCTCCCGACTCCGACTTCGGCTGCGCTCCCGCCTGCCATGCCGGTCATCATCGCGTCCCCGGTCCCGATCCCGGTCTCGATCACTGCCCCGACCTCTATCGCGGTCATCCCTGTAGCGGTCTCTGCGGTCGCCATCCCGGCCATCCCCGGGGTCTCGCCCCGGAGGCCCAGCGCCGTCGCCGCTCCCGCTGTACGGCGGCCTTGATGGCCCTGCCGCCACCTCCTCCTTCCTGCGCTTCTGCTCTGCCTCCTGCGGCGAGGAAGCGTGACAACATGACACCATGCCAGTAAACAGCAAAAGAAGCACTGGGCGCCAAAACATGGGAATCAGTCGTCTGAAGGCAACCAAAAACATATGCGAATGCAAACTCCAGCCCAAGGACGGCAAGTGACAACCCTGGTGCACAGCCCTGCTCTGCGGCCTTCCTTCGTCCCCAATCCCAACCCATCCCAGCACCCCTCCGCCATTCCTCCCCTGCCCTGGCCCATTCTCGCTGTAGCGGACGTGGTGCAAGAGAACCACGATACAAAGACGACCCAGTATTCACGTCCATCGCCCTGTGCGCCTTCCATTCCAGGCCCCTAGCATTAGGAGACTCAACCCACGATCCGATTACATCCAGCACCCAGCTGCACCCACCTCCAACAGCTCCTGCGTCAATTGCTTCGCCCTGTCCCGCGTATCCACAATCTCCGCCGCCGGCAGCCTGGCATTAGGCCGTGCAAGCGCTACCCCGCTGCCCCCGCCGCCGCTGCCGCCAGCCCCGCCTGTGAGCGCCTGGATAATGCTCCAGAAGCGCTCTATGAGCACGTCGTTAAGGGCTGCGCCCAGTCCCATTTCGTGCATGGCCTGCAGGTGCGCGCGGGTGGTTAAATGGTAGTGCCATAAGTTCGTTGGCGGGTCGCTCAAGGCTATTGAAGGCAGCGCTGTTGCTGCTTTTGCAGGTGCCATTAACGTCTGCTGTCTCCAAGCTTTTTCCCACGGCTGCTGGCCCCGCCATTGCTGCCCTCCTCTGAGTCCCCGCTTTCGCCCCCCCTTCCTGGCCTCCTCAAATGCAAGACCTGGAACCGCTCTGCAATCTAACCCATGTAAAATGGGTTTCTGCAAGCGGGCGGGAGCACTCGCGACATGACGCAACCAGTACACCCTTTCGCGCATTGGGTACGACACACGCAGTCCCAACCGCCCGTCATTACACAAGCTCACGCACCCACACTGCCCAATATCAGTTCAGCACCCTCCCGTCCCTTACACCTGCTCTACAGGCCGCCATGTTGTTGGTCACACCAACGATCTCATCAGCGCCATCCAGCGCCCCGATCAATGCAACGCACCTTCTTAAACCTGTCCACATTGCCAGACTCCTTGGCCGTCTCCACGATGAACTCCGCTACAGTGGCATCGCTAATCTGGAGGTGGTTCTCAATCTCTGAGCAAGGACAGGGAAGCAAATAGGCATAGCAAGGTGGCTTCGAAGGAGATGCGCGCGAGGAAATGGCGGGCTAGGGAAGCGTATAAATTGATAGTAATCGTTGTCGAACCCATCCCTCGTCGAAATTTAGCCCAGGGATGTGACCCCCGGGCCCCTGCCCTCAAATTGTTCTCCTCTTGGCCTGCCACGACGGCAAACTACCCAGGGCCATCCTTAGGCAAAACTCCTCATGACCAAACAGTACGACATTATCAACGCAAAGAAGGATACACACTGTGTCGAGACACAGTGCCAAATTGTAACACGCTCCGCCCACCAGTGCCTAACAGAATGAATCATTTTTCGATTTAGTAAGCATGCTCTCCAGCATACACGTGTACGCAATAACTGAGAAATAAAAGTTCGAGCATAGATGCCGTGCGCCCAGACCAAGCAGCAAGCTCATATCACATATGCACACCTTGTGCAACTTTGTTGACGGTCTGTAAGTATAAAAGCTTTTGCAAACCGCTGGCCATCGCTCCTGCTGGCAATTTTGTCAGCTGTCGCAAAATCGATGGAAGACGTTCCTAAAGGGCCTCTACCCCGCCTGAGCTCCTCGTCGCGCTTTTTCACAACAGCGCTTGAGGGCTTTCGGCGGGGCAACGGCACATAATTACAAACGCGGTATCCGTGGGACTGTAAATGAGCAAAACGTGAGCATTAGACATAATCACAGCGTGAAAAATTGGCAATTGCTGTTTCGGCGTGCAGATAGGCAGGAGTTCTTGGGGCTGTTTCGTGGGCCCTATCCATACGGTTCTGGAAATTTGGTCTAACGACGACCTATATGATAATGCACCCACCTAAGACATTGGGACACTGCGTTTCTGCAAATTGCGTGCAACTCGTAGGCATCTTCTGTCTTACTGCGCCAACTACTAGCTGAACGATGGCGGCCCTAATGAACCGTCCCGCTGTTCTATCGTCCTCTAGCCGTGGCCGCCTCGTAGTGTGCGCTGCTACGGCAGTGCCCAAGCAGGTAGGCTGATTGTCTAATGGTTGATGATTGCCTTGTTGCACTGGTACTCGGGGGCGGAGCATACTCGGTGGTTCTAGACGCACCGGGAGTTCAGGTGTTTCCGCTGCCACTGTACCCTTGTGCAGTTTAAGGCGGTGAAGCCTGTTGGTGACCGCGTTCTGGTCAAGGTGGACAAGGAGGAGGCGAAGAGCGTCGGTGGTGTGCTGCTGCCGGCGTCGGTTCGCAACAAGCCCACTGCTGGCGCTGTGGTCGCAATGGGCGATGTGAAGGCCGTGAAGGTAATTATTATTATCATTATTACGTTAATATGCCACCTGTTATATTATATGGAGGCCGATGCCATTGCCACAGTCACCGATTCCGTAGTCTTTTATTGTTCGATTCCCCATTGTTGCGCCCCACTCATGTGGTCATGAGCTTCTGTTCAAGTCACTCGACAATCCCCATCTGGGTTGTCGCTCCGTGGACACGAGTTGCGGGCCTGTTTCACGAGTACGAGACGCTGTTTTGGAACACCTCACATGCCCATGTGCTTTCAGCACTGCCGGCGCCACCCTAGGGGAACCCCTAATCTGTATTGGCTCTAGGGTTTGCTATTGTGCCAAGTGGTTGCTTTTGGGTGGCAGGATTCTTGCTCCGGTGCGCGCACTATTGATTCACGAACCACTATGGCCACAATAAATAACAGTCCTGGCTTTTTACGGCGACCCCAAGTAGCCGTGACTACGTTCTGCACTGTATCCTTGGTGATTGGGGGTCCAGTAGAGTCGTTTCTCAAGCCGGTCCGTCCCCAAGCTGAAACTGGCTCCGCCTGCATGTGCATGCCTTCTTCCGCCATTGCCGTCTTTTCGCGCTCAGGCCTCCGACAAGGTCATCTACTCCAAGTTCGCTGGCACTGAGCTGGAGCTGGCGGGCGAAGAGCACGTGCTGCTCAAGGTAAGCCGGGCGAAGGGCAGCAAGGTCTGGGCGGCCGGTGGTCTCACCCGGCGTCCATCTCCTCCGGGCGGGATGGGAGTTTGAAGGGACGAAACGGTCGATGTTATGAGCAAGTAGGAGCCAATGAAGGTCCGGGGGGGCCCTGGCAGGGGATCAAACCTGGAGGGCAGTAACGGCTACGACGGGGCTCCGTGGGCCTACCTTGTGTGTGGAGTGGAGTGGAGTGGCAAGAAGGCGCCTCAGTGCATATGCGGCACATGCGGGCTTGGTGCACAACACCAAATTTAGCCCCGGTATCGAAGCTGCTGTGGGAAACATGCTCACTAATGTACTCCTGTGAATGCCGCATGCCCTGCCTCAGGAGGATGATGTGATCGGCGTGCTGCCGCCTTCAGACAAGGTGGCCCAGCTCAAGCCCTTGGGCGACCGCATCCTCATCAAGGTGCGCGAGATCCCTAGGGAGATCCCTAGGAGGGGGCGCTAGCCCACCCGTACCGGGATGTCTCCACCATGTTGCACATTCCCGACGGGCTGGGGCACAAACCCTCGGCGGTGCTAACAAGCAAGTGCTCACTACCTGCACTGGGCTCATTTCGACAGCACGAGTGGGCTTGCCTTGTGTGAGCTGTACATTGTGGCCCTCCGCCCCGGTGACATGAGGAGTGCGTGTGCGTGTGCGCATGTGAGCCACATTCCTCCTCCCGCTTTACCACACAGCTCAATGTCAACCTCGTCGTTACCCCCTCCGCCACCTTCGTCTCGTAGGGCGCTAAGGCGGAGGATAAGACGGCTGGCGGTGTGCTGCTTGCCACGGACTCGGGCGAGAAGCCCACGTTTGGCACGGTGAGTTTGGCTCGGTGCGGCAGAGGGGGTTAATGAGGGGAGTGGGCTGTGAGGCTGTGAGGGGTTTTGTGACGGACCGCAATCCCGGACCCGCGCGCCCTGGTGCCTCACAGGTGGTTGCCGTTGGCGAGGGCAAGGAGGACGAGGAGACCAAGCAAATGGTGAAGCCCAATGTGGAGGTGGGCGCTACTGTTATGTATTCCAAGTACTCCGGGACGGAGTTCGAGGTGGGTTCTGTCTGGCTGGGCGGTTGGATGGCCGGGGGGAGAGGAGGAGACTTGACGCGGTGAAAGGTGGCAGGAGAACTTGTGGGTAGGGCTTCGGCGCCGGAATGTGCGCTAGCTGACTTGGGAAGGGAGAATTACGTGGGGGCGTGAGGAGGGGCCCCTCTGTAGCGATGGGAGGGAAAATTGAGTGCAAACCGCATTCGGAGGAACCGATAACACGTTGCGCCGCCGTAACCTCGCTGCACCCCCAAATGTCAATTCTTACGCTTTCCGTCACCCAACTCTCCCCCCGCACACCCGCACAGGAGGATGGCGAACAGTACATTGTTGTTCGCGAGAGCGACATCCTTGCGCAGCTGGCGTGAGCAGCAGCGAGCCCGCAGCTAAGCGCTCGCCGAGTGGCCCCAAGGGACTTCAGGATAACGCGGGGGCGCAAAACTGCACAATTGCACCGCCAGTGCAGAGCCTTAACGGTGGAGAGGGGAGAGATCTTTAGGTTGAGTGAGCTGCGTGGTGATGTCGCGTTGAAGGTAGTCAGTTGTTCTGTGACAAGGGGGTTTAGGACCTTGCGGTCTGGAGGTTCGGGCAGGGAGGGGCGGCCCTGCTGGAAGGGTGAGCGAGAAGACGTGCGTGTGTGTGTGCCTCGTGGAATGTGGGTCGGAAACGGCTGGCGTTGGAAAGGCCAGGATAGGCGGTCTTAGCAGGCGGCATGGGACCAGAGTGGCACAAGCTTTCTGTATCGCCGTGTCTGATGCGGCCCCTCTGCTGCCGCTGCCGGTAGCTAACGACCTGGCATCTGGTGGCGGCCGAGGTGGTCATGGACGACCGACACCAAAGTACGAGGTGGTGTGGTTATTATTGTCACCGGACGCGACTGTGTGGTCCACGGACGAGGCCGTCGTTAGCATGCACCCCCCGTCAGGGCCCTTAACCACAGCCCAGCCTAGCCTAGTTTTGATTGTCGAGGGGCGTCCAAGGCAGCTGTGTTACAATCTGGTCATTCCGCTTTGATGGCCGGCAGTAGTCGACGTGTGCTGGGCGGTAGGGAGGTGCTGGAATGCAGATGATGGCCTTCACGTGGCGCGCTCTACTGCGGAAATAACCTCACGATAGACCCATGAAAGTGTCCTGAAGGGGGAGGGCAGCGTTGGATTGCGGATGTGTACGATGAACAGCAGTCCCTGCAAATGGCAATTTTGTCCCCCGCGTCCTGTGCTTGTGTGTGACGACTTGAAGCAGCTCCGCAGCAAGATCCACGTCTCGCAACAGATGCAACACATGCACGGGGATGTTTGCGTGGGCCCTGCGTCGGGGTCATGGCAGCACAGCAAAGGACGTGGGGTGTGTCCTGTGTGGAAGAGTGTTGTTGGTTGTGACACATTCTGGCTCTGTGAACTAGTGGTAATGCCGAGGATAAAGGTGAGATGTTGGACTGGTGCCAAATGGCACCGTGAAGGTGACTATGCCTGGTGCCGTTGTGGCACTATGCGGTCAACGGGGAAGGGAGTACTGTTCCGGTGTAAAACGTCCTGCGGTCTTGAAAGGGAAGTTCGGAAGTGCGTGTATTGTTAGGTGATATGCCTGTTGACAAGGAGCAAATGTTCGAGCTTGCATCAGTGCAGTTGCCTCTCCACAGATTGGGGCCGAGAACAAGCCGCGACCTTGACAGTTGTTTTAGCAAACTGAAGTCTGACACCATCAACGGAGGATGTGCCCCCAACTGGAAGGCGGAAGGATGGTCAGACAGACGGGCAAGGTGATGTAGAGGAGAGGTACTCGTGGTGTGCAAAGGAGCAATGCAGTAACGTGAGCTGGCCCTGGATCTGAAAAAAGCACGAACCACTCCAACAAACTGCACTGACTGGTTTATGTTTCGGGGCCTCATTTCCATCATCTACCTACGCCCACCATCGAGACATCACGGCAAAGGGCCAACGAATTCCGACTAATGAGAACCAACGTCCCGATCCTGTTGCCCCTCATGGGGAGGAAACCACAACTTTACAAGAGGCGCCTTATGGTGGCGGGTGAATCACGACTCTTGCCAACGCTCTGCCCTTAATGCCCTTACACGCGTTCTTAACATCGACGAAGAATCGACAGAGCGGATGACGGACGGACAGAGGTGATAGGAGCCACATGCCACGGAAGCGCTAATTCCCACTGCACTAGCCCACATCCCTAATCCGCTATCTGCAAAGGGCTGCCGTATCCAGACGGGCAGACAGACAGACAGACCCACAAACGGATACCGGGATTGGGGTCACTATTTAGTCATACGAGTGTTGCACCAAGAAACAACATTTGTGTTCCAGGTGCGAGGAGGTCGCGTCACTGCACTACTACATACCAACCGCCAAGTAAACGACTAAGCAAAAAGCGTCCTGACGGTTATTGAGCCCTCTTGCATCCGTTAGCTTAAAAACGCTTTACGCGGTGTGCGACAAGAGGGCCTTGTGCCGAGTGATGCGCATAGTGGGGGCGAGGAGGGATGTGGGGCCAATATCTTATCCATCAAAATGGTGTTTCTCTAGGTGCGCCGACTGCCGCCCGCAAACGGTTGCTAACAAAACCGTTACCCTGCGTAACTAACATCATACAAAAGGTTAAATCCCGTACGGGAGCACTACGGCCTTAGGGAGAATAAATTACATGATGCATCGTGCACCACACGAACATGGAGAGGTTTCCAGGACACATCGACAAACAGACAGACAGATAGACTTGCGTGAGCTGCAGGAGCTGTCAGTTGCGGTCAAACGGAAATATCCACATCCACATACGTACACACCATATACAACATTTTCGAGCGTGCAGCTGAATCCGCCGGACACCCCTTCCAATCAGCGTCAACCCTCGCCTAAACGGAATGAAGCTTATTTTCCTTGCTCCAAGACGAAGCGCGCACATCACGCACGCGTTCCCACAACTTTCCACTCCGATTTCGTCCATAAAAACCAACAAGCAAAAGAAACTAAACACAGCCGCACGTGACGCAGTCACCCGGAGTCACATGCCCCGTAGTCGTCGAATAAATGTATCGTCATCACATCGCTTTGAGCCTTAAACCTGTACTGTCAGCAAAAACCTGCAAAAACGTCCGGACAGATGCAAGCAGAGAGATAGGAGATGTGAAAGCGGACAAACCTTCACCCGCCTCCTGCCGTACTTGTCGGACTTGCTGGCAAAGGCAGTTTGACTGCACAGCGCTCTGACAACGGTCTAAACCTGGCTTATATGCCGTGCCTCTCCCCCCACTGCTACTGCTACTACTAATTACCAGAAACATGCAATGAAAACATGTGCATGCAATTCCCACTTATAACAACAACGCAAACGCCATTACATAGCCCCGCACACCCAAAGCCCCAAATGTCAATGGCGGCAGCGGTGGCGGTTGCGCTGCTGTTGCTAGTGCTGATGCTAGTGCTGTTGCAGGGTTTTAGTTCTTCTTGAGGCCGTTTATATCGAAACCTCTGTAGTGGAGAAACACCACTCCCATCCCCCATGCACACACACATGCGGGGGGAAATCAGGAGAGGGTGGTTTCAGAGCGAGTCGAACCATCCTTGTCCTCCACTTCCGGACAAGATACCGGATCCCCCCCCCCTCCCCCTCCCTCCCTCTTTTCCCCCCCATGTGCATGCACCTCCCAAACGGACCTCGCTGCGGCCGCGAAGTCGCAAACACTCCGTACACTCCTCCCCGTAAGGAGGCGGGTTGGCGGCGGAAGCCCCTCACCACGAAATGAGGCAGGCACGTGTTATGAATGTCCTAGGCCTCATCACCCCTGAGCATAAGACCTAAAGAAGTTCAAGTCGACGGGACACCCGACAGCATATCGAGGTACCCAAACCAAGTACCAACAGTACCTCGTCCGGTACTGCCACAATGAACAAGTACGTACGTACATACATACGTACATACGTATGTACCGCACCTTAACCCCTGCCTGGGACGACAAGGTGCCACACCACATCTCCCTAACACACGACAACACCAGCCAGATGCAACATAGGGACCCAAATCAGGACTGACATCCATCTACCTAACCATCCATCTATTCATCCATCTATATAATACATTTCAGAAGTCATTTCCGCTGCTCCTCTCCCTGCCCCTGACCGCCTCTAACAAGTTGTTGAAAGCCATGTGGATTGAAACCGTGAAGGGATGCACGTGTGTATATGTATGTATGTATGTATGTGCATGCATGCATGCTTCCAAGCACAGAACCGTGCCACCAAGGGACGACGTCGAGAGAGGTTCGCAGAGGGGCGCAAAAAGGTCATTCAAAAAACCCTCTCGACAGGTCGCCTCTTCCCTTAGGCTGCTTCCAGAAAAACATACCCTTTCCCCGCCACATGCAGCATGCGCCACCAGAGCGCATCTGTGCCGTACTGTACCGTACGGCAACGCGCAGCGTCTACGCAACGCGTACGGCACAGCGTTACATATTGCAAGTGCGTTGATCAACATTACGCGGAGCCAACGCGACCCCCACAATATGTCAGTACAGCCAATCCACGCTACGATGGGAAGATCGCCTAACCGGGCCTTGCTTGGCTACCACCTCACAGAGCCACAAAGCCCACCTGGGTGGACAGTCGCGACATGCCCGGGTGGCAAGGTGTATCGACATACAGACTAGCCGTACAACCCTAGCATGCAACAGCCGTACAAGGAAACAGCACTATAGAGGCAAAGAACAATTTATTTCTGTTAGCTGTCTTTACGTACCCGTTCGTATGTATGTATGTAGGGGACCACATTTTGAGTTTTTTTAAGGTAGCAGACATACATACATGGCGCAACCCCTGCCGCCAGGATATAACGCCCATGCAATATCGCACCACAAACAAATATTCGGGAAGCTGCTAATGTACTGCTAATCATCATAATGCACATGCACTCGCAAAATCTGCATTTGGGCCAATTTGGGGGCTTTTGCAATATCATATCATTTGCCTGGACCTGCCAAGTCCCCCTACCCACACACACACACACACGCACACGGTATCGGCCTCACCCTCCTACCCACCGCACCCCGGGAAGTGCGCTACCCCCCTTTCCCCAAACTTCCCAGATACGTGTCCGGTATCTGACACACCAACCTTTGCACACATACATACATACATATACACGTACACATGTATCAAGGCGGTATTGTACAACGTACTAGGTAAGGCTCCGCAGTGTACGACAGACGTACACACAGAGGGACACACATGTACATATAAGGGATAAATGGCTCTTGGTAGGTATTGGCCCACGAAGTCCTCCGCGGGCTCCCTTACCACTACTGCCGCTGCTGCTGCTGCTAGTGCTGCTGCTGCTGCTAGTGATGCAGATTTACGCGGGTTTTAGCAGTCAAGGTTGTTGGGATACTACGCTACGAGAATTATCAATACTGCTCTCTAAAAGCTTCAACACTGCCGCTGCTATACCACTACAGCCGTACGCTACAGCCACCACATCTACCGCAAAACCCACCAGCGAACACCATCACCAACAACCAACGGGCGCAACCGTACCGCCACTTGCCCCGGACATATAAACAGACAATAGCCATAACGATATCCCAACGCCGCGCGTGATGTGTACCCCCAACCTGCCATTTCCCCTCTTCACACAAACACAATCAGCAAAGCTGCCCCAGTCCCATCACCTTTGACAGGTCGTCTCCAATGTCGTACAAAACGAAAGCACGGGTAGCGCTTGACATCCCCTCCTGTTACTCGTCCCCACCCGCCCCAGACACCCCCGGGAAGGACGGCGTCTCCTGTTTCGAATCAGTGATCAGTCGCAAAAGTAGCGGTCCTGCAGGACAAAAACACACATATACACACATGCACGCAAGGACATGAATGTCATATGCGGTCTCGGTCAAAATGTGCGATGATGAAGACACGTGTTTGGGTTTTCCCCCCCTCCTTCTCACCCCGTCCACCCCCATGGCCACCCAATTCAACATCCCCCTCACACACCCCACATGCCTCACACAGATACACACACACACACACACACACGCTAACAAACATACATGCACACTTACATATCACTCACACACATACACACACATACGCACACTTCCAATCCTAGCTCTGTCCCCCCCTCCCCCCTCACCCCGTAGTTGCCAGCCCCCGGCACCAGGGCGAAGTTCTCCCGCGGGTCCACGCAATCGTCAATCTCCGACGTCAACAGCTTCACGGAGGGGAAGGTGCTGCAGACCTGAGTGTGCGTGTGTGTGGGAGGGGGGGGCGGGCGGGGGAGTTGGCGGGGGGGGGTCTTTGCGAGTGATCATCCGCAAGTCGTGTAAGGCATTGAGTATGTTAAAGTGGAAGGGGGAAAGGGAGGGTAATGAAAACACGGCTGTTGTGTATCGCAACACCATGGAGTGCTACTGCTACTGCTACTGCTACTGCTGCCGTAGCACCCCCGCTAACCCCCCCCACTTCTCCCCCCGACGCCACACTCACCTTGACAATACCCTCGGGCGCCGCAATGATGGTGAGGAAGAGGATGCGGTCCTCGGGCACACCGCGGTCCTTGAGAATCTGAAACACACAGAGACGTACACGTCATAAACGCACGGGTAGAGACAGACAGACAGACGGACATTACCTTCATGCGAGACAACCAGACCAGTGCCCCTCAGCGAGACAAACATACAAACATACAAGAAAGCGGTAAGGGGGCCCGCCGTGCTGCCTAACCTCGCCCCCTGGCGGCTGCTACCTCACCTTGATTAGCCCAAGGGGGGGAGTTGAGTGGTCTCAGGAGGGTGTTTGGCGTCTTGTGGTGTGAGCTCTTTGCGCTCTTTTGGGGTGAGGGTTTCGGAGCTTGGAGACATCCCCAGCCCGGGATGTGTCATCGGACACTTGCTGCCCGTACGTACGTACGTACGTACGAGAAACTCGGTGGGACCCCTTGTTGTGGTGACCAGCGGACCTAGAGCCCGTTTAGCTGGTGCGCTACCCCCCGGTGGGGATCGCTGCTGCTTAGTGCCGGCCGTCGTACCTCGCGCGGTCTGCCCCATGGGCGGAATGCACGACACTAACTGGCCGTGTGCGTCTGGCCCCCGCGCGGTGTTCCCGGCTTTTCAGTCCACAGTGTAATCGTCGTCATACATACCTACATACCTACATGCATACACATGACCCATACCGACATTCCACCCTCCCAGTTGTGGGCACCCACCAGCTTTCCAAACCGCTCCCCGGCCCCAGGGAGCTACTACCCCCTCTATCGCCCCCTCCCTCACCCCTCCCTCACCCCCCCCCACACACACAAACACACCCACCTGGATGGCTTTGACAGCCGTGGCCCCCGTGCTCAACAGCGGATCCATCAGCATCACGTGCCGATCCGCAATGTCCGAGGGGAGCTTCTCGTAGATGACGTCGTTGTTGTCCTGGTGCCTGGGAGGAGAGGGAGGAGGAAGGGAGTGGCAGGAAACGTACAGCCGTACATGTCAGCCAACACTGCGCCACGATCAGGTGCTTCAAACCCAACGGAACTCTCCCCTCCAACCTCCCCACCTTTGAAGTCCCCCCAACAAGCCCATATCACCCCACCTTCTCTTCATCCGTTCACCCCCCCCCCATACACACACCCTCAGCAGCCCCCCACCTGTGTACGAGGATCTTGCCAATCTTGATGCCCTTACAGCACGCCCTCAGCGCCGCCTCCATGGCCTCCCCGCTGCGAATGATAGACACCCCGCACAGCCGCCGGGCAAAGGCCACTCCGCAGTAGGGGGCGCCCGTGGGGGTGGTCACGGAGCGCTCCGTGAAGGGCAGGTGCCCCAGACCCGCCTCCACCACCAGGCGGTTCAGGCGGTCCGCGTAAAACACAAAGTCTGACACGCGGCGGCGGCGTACGACACGTCGTTGAGGGGCCGGGGCGGGGACAGGAAAGCAAGGGAAGGGAAGGGGGGGTAAGAAAGGGTGGGCCCCTGGTGGGGTGTTGTTGAGTCAAAAAGGTGGAAAGAGGTGGCAGGCCCTACCAAACGATGATGATGACGATGATGATGACGATGATGGTGGTGATGATGGTGGTGATGATGGTGGTGATGATGATGATGACGATGATGATGATGATAATGATGATGACAATGACGATGATGATGATGCAAACGAAGCCAAGAATCCAAAGTTGACAGACGTTCAAAGTTGACAGACGTTCAAAGTTGACAGACGTTCAAAGTTGACAGACATTCAATTGCAAGATCCAAATCATCAAATTCGTAATTCTGAAGACAGGAAGCTGTTACCGCTAATTCAATATCACCCCGCACCGCACCACAGCACACCACACCACACGTTCTTTCTCCTCCCCTCACCTTCCTTGCTTGTGTTGCGGTCTCGAATGATGGTGTGCATTCCCTGGATCTGGAAGTTGCTCGGAATCACCTCAAGGTTGGGGTAGATGCGCTTCAGCTCGGGCTGCTGCAACTTGGTGCGAATGTGCTCCACGATCAAATCAATGGCCACCAGATTCTCGCCCCTGGATAACCACAGCACAGCACAGCACAGCACACAGCACAACAGCAAAACGAACAGAATGTTAACGAGGTTGCCGTTCGTCGACGCTCACCACCACGACCCGGGTCGGCGGCGCGGCGCTGCTTCTGTCCCCGTGCCTCTTTCTTTCTCGTACGGGGCAACCCCCATCTTCCTTTCCCCGCCCCCTCCCCCCCTCCCTTCCCCCTCCCGCATAAGGCCCCGGTCCCGCCACTCACTTTCCCCAAGGGATGATGACGTCAGCATGTCGCCGGGAGGGGGCCACGAACTGGTCAAACATGGGTTTTACAAACTCAGTGTACTGCCGGATAACGCCTGCAAAGGGGTAAGCGGAAGGCGGGGTGAGGGGGTGAAGGTGGATTGGGGTTGACGGAAGGGGCCATCGGACGGACAAAAATGCATGACGAAGCCGCCGCCGCAGTAGCAGCAGCAGCAGCAGCTGCTGCTGCCGTCCAAAGCACCAGACAGTGGAGGGACGGGGGGAGGAGGCAGAACGAAGGAGGGAAGGCAGGGGCGGTATCACGCCCCAACTCCGAAACCAAAACCCAACCGCCACGTGACTCCCCCGGGACCAATGCACTCCCCCAAATCATTTCCCGCTCTTCCCCCCCTTTCCCCCTCCCACTAGGTCGGTAACTTCTAAAACCCTCGAGCAGTATCTGCCTATACCTGTAGGCTCCGCCAACCTCTGGTATCTGCGGGTATCGTCACTGGTTCGTTTTATCCCCCCTCCCGCCTGTCGCACCACCTTTCCCTTATCCCCCCCTTCGTCCTCCTCCTCCTCGGCCCCTTCGCTCTCTCTGTCCCTGAACCCACGGGGGCAAGCGGTCTTCCCAGTTCCATTCCCCCACAACCCAAGCGCCAGGTCCGTTCGGACGGTACGACCAGCCACGTACCAACCACATCACGTCCCCGGCACGCCACGTCACGCTGGATGCGGCGCGCCAGTCGCAAGTCGTCATCTGTACATTGTACGGTAGTGACAAGGTAGGATCGGAAGCGGGGTTGCGATTAGTTACATGATCAAACTACAATAGGTGTCTAAGCCCTGACATGGCAACATCGTCAAGTACATGGAGCCCGGAGCTCACCTGCGGAGCCTCAATCGCTGCTACTGCAGCTACTGCAGCTGCTGTTTGTAGCCCCCTCCCCCCCCTCCCCCCCCCTCACCCGTATCCACAAAGATCTTCATGTTGCACATCTCCCTGACTTCCTTCATGGCCAGTACCAGGATGCCCTCCACCACCACCACGTCCGCGGGCCCCGTCACGCGGACCTCCTCGGACCGGGTGTGTCGGGAGAAGTCGTACGTGGGCACTTGCACGGGACGGCCCTCCTGTCCGGGGCGGGGGGAAGTCGGGGAGGGGTGGGCGCGGGAGAGGGGAGGGTAAGGAGAAAGTGGACAGCCAGGCAGGGGACTACGGCGGGAAGAATCTTTGCGCAACTGCCATTAATTAATTTGTTGGTGGTCGGTCGGTCGGTCGGGGTATGTGTGTGCGTGTGTGTGTGAACGTTACAAGGGCCTGACAGTGGCCAGGGACTGCTGCCCAGCCCCAACGGAAAGACCGCTTAAGCTCTCCCCCGCGGACGGGAGAGGGCCGTGAGGGGCCTCTGTCCCCTCCTAAGCCGCCGTGTGTGTGTGTGTATGTGTGTGTGTTGGAGGGAATCTGGACATGTCTACGAGTTGTCGGTTTTCCTCCTTGTCCCACGGCCCTAACCGGCGTTACTAACCCGCAGCTTCTGCAGGGTTTCCAGTAGCAGGGGTTTGTCAAAGGCGTCCGGGTGGTCGAAATTGAAACCTGCAAGGTCAAGGGAGGTGAGGAGGCACAAGGTACAAAACCAATTTCAATTTCGCATCGTCATCGACGTACTTTTGCAGCCTCGATGCCTTCCTGCGGGCTCGGCATGGTCGGACCCAGCGCAACTCTTTCGTCGAGACTTGATCCAGAGTTATGCACTCTTCTTAGAGAAAAGATAAAAAAACAAAGCAGAAAACGCCGACGAAGTGTAAACCATGATGTATGTGTGCTATCGACAGGAAGAAACGGTATGCGCGACTCGGAAGTCCCCATTGCACATCATGTTGGCCCAGCCGGCATTCCTTAAATAGTGCTTGATGGCTTATGTCGACTGAAGGCACGGTTACGTTGGCAACTGCCAACCCCGAATATAGGACTCTCATTTGCCGTGCAACAGCCGCCAGCTCAGAACTTACTTGTTACGTTCTCACGCTCTGCTTCCGTCAGGCAGCGGTAAAACGAATCTTGTGAAAGCATCACGACGCAGCTGTCATGCAAGCGCTGCATGATAGTATCGCATACAGTTGTCTTCCCAGATGCCGTTCCTCCAGACACGCCTACAGGGTCATCTTCAAGCTATAACGAAAAGGGAGGGACACATAGCCTAGAAATACATGAAGTTGCTGCACGCACCAATAATGAAAACCCCAGAGTGAAGACGCTTCTGCTGTCGCCCACCGCCAGCGCCGTTTTCTACTCGAGTCCTCGTTGTGAGGTCGTCATCATGGTTGCCATTGGCATCTGGCTGGTTGCCGGCATCTTCTTCGGGCCCATTTTCAACTGCCGTTCGCGGCTTACGCGGCGTGCCACCTCGGCTATGATAGTCAAACATGGTGCCACAAAATTCTAAGGTGTAAGCGTGAAGTTGCAACACAAATTTCTTGTATTTCGTAGCATAGAAGCGCTACTGGCATGTGATGAAGGCGTACGGTGTCGCTCCGAAATCCTAAGCGAACCGCTCGTATCCTTCTCGCAAAACGCAGCCCATCAGCTGAAGCATCCAGCGAACAACAGACACACTATTGTATTAAACTACAAAATATTTATCTAACCCGTTGCGCCACATACAAGTGCGGCAAGGTGTACGGATTTTCAACAGCGCCCTTTCCGACGCACCCCGCACTCGCTCACTGACTCCGCCACACCAGTCTATCAATGCAGCTCCAAAACCCGCAGACATCCAGGACGCGGTCCGGTCCCACGACCCCCGCGTTTATTGGCCATCTACCGTCCCCCCGCCTTCCCGCTCCACCGGGGGCCCCGCAACTCCCCGCAGCTTCTCTCTCAGAGCCCCAACTCCACTCAGACACCCACGACCCGCTTCATCAACGTTCAAAACCCCAAACCATATCCACAGCCCCGAAACCACAGTACCTTCCTTGCCCCGTCCTGGAGCTCTCTTTCCCACTCCTTCCCTCCAGCTCCGCAGCCACCCTGCTGCTTCGCGACCCGGCCTCCGTGACAGCTTATAACAGCCACGGCAGGTCCGTGAGTTAGCGATCCATGATTTAACATGACGTGATACGACGTGGCCGTACACGAGACAATGCACGATGCGCTGGTTGGTGGCGATGCACAATTCCGCAAAGACAGGCGGTGGTACAGGTCGACCCAGTGGTGCAATCGACCCGCATCATGTCGATATCCACACCCCCGACTAGTCGGCTCCCGCATCCACACGCCCGTTCGCTTTCGCTCTCTTCCCCCGCCTCTCTCTCTCTCTCTCTGTCGCACAGACACGCACTCACACACACACAGGCTCATGACATCACTGCACACATGCCGCGGCTCAGATCATCAACACACACGCACATTCCCATACCCATACACCTTCACACACGCCCACACGCCCACTCTCCCCCCTGCCTCAGAGGAGACGTCCCTGCTGCCCCGGGTAGCGACTCGGCTCCAGGCGGGGTCCATCCTGTTGGCCTGGTTCGTGCTGACCGTCACACAGCACGAAACATGCATAGCCAAGCTGGGTCTTATGCAGGGGTTGGCGTTACGGGTGGCGGCGAGCAGGTGCCGTGCTGATTTCTGCCTTCTGCCTCCTACGGGTGGTCAGAGGGAAAAGGAAGACCGGCGCCGGCGCAGACCTGGGGTGGGGGAGGGAGGGGGAGGTGAGGCCTTGGAGGGGGAGAGGGGATGAGTCCAGCCCCAATGCCGAAATGGCCTTAGGTACATCATTGCCCTCCGTCGGAGGGCAGTGTCGACATCCACCTCCACCTCCACTAACAACAACAGCAACCACAACTCACAATGACATCTGCGACGATAGCAGCAGCAACACCAGCGGCAGCCCCTGCGGCTGTGGCTGCGGCTGCGGCGGCAATGGCAGGTTCCCGCCTGTATTGCAGCAGTCCACTGGACATGTCTCCGGAATGGAGCATGTGGAGGTCTGGATGGAGGATGCGGCCGCAGGCGTGTGGAGCCGGCCCGCATTGCAGCCTGCTGCCACCGCAGCAGCCAGCAGCAGCCAGGGCAAGGAGGGGCACGTTGTGTGGCGTGTGTGCGCTTCATGTACACGGGCGGTGTCTGAATGCGGCACCGGCTGGAAAACCGCCCTCAATACCCTCTGTGTGTGTGTGTGTGTGCTTCATTTTTCCTTTCTCAGGCCCGGGGGCTCCAATGGTGTGTTTGGGTTCTGTACGGCGGCTATCGTTTTGTGTTTGGAACTCCCTGTCGGGGCTGTCTTTCGGCACCTCGCCTCGTTCCAATCTTCGCGGTGCGCTCTTGTTGTCCCAATGAACCCGGGGAAACCCGCTGGCCTAGCGGGGTAATGTGCTGCCTCCGAGGCCTTCAGACGCCCAACTCCGGCCGAGTGGGCTCATGGTCCTTTTCCGCTCTCTTGGCTCTTTCCTGGAGGCCTAGGGAAGAAATCTATTACGAATGTTGCTGGGGCATTGGGCGGATGGCTAAAGCTGCCGCCAGGTTTGTGGACGAGCTTACGGCTGGAGCAGCGGCCCAGGTCGTAGCTCACTGTTTGAGGTTGGCCGCGCTTCGGGGAACGATGAAAGGGCTTGGGGGTGCTGGAGGAGGAGGCGGCACCGGTTGTTTGTCCATTGTTACAATTTTGGATGTAGTTCGTATGTTTTGTGTTGTAAAGTGACCGACATTCATATACCAGAGAATGGTGGCAGCAGTAATAGGACCTGGGATGGGTCCGGGTCCGTTCCTGTGTGACTAACTTATTTAAGTTAGTCTCTCTTGATGTGCATGTTCGGCTTCGCAGGTGGTGTGGTACCAGTCTGCCGTGCGTCTGACGTGTTTCCTCGATGCTACAGTCGTATGACGCGACACTGCCGTGGCTGGGTGCGCGCCATGAGGGCAGGGATGGCGGTCAGTACTGCAGCTGTGATGTTCTTTGCAACTGCAGCGCTATTGAGGACGCTGTGGAAAGCTGGAACGTGGGCTAGTTTTGGCTTGCCTTGCGCCTGCTACGAGCTTTTGAAAGTCGCGGACTGCCCTGGCCTGGCCTGGCCAGTCTTGAGCTCATCCCTTAAACATGTCCATCTGCGCGGCATATCGGGAAGGCAACGCACAAGATGCCGTAGAGGAAAGCTTTGGGTGCTGGATGGGTTGGCTGGTTTGGGAGGTGGATGTGATTGGGTTAAGCACATTAAGGAATGCAATTTTTGGCCACACACATCAAGGAGAGGCTGTGATTCGTCGGCAGAGCTTGGAGCCAAAGCTTGTAACGTGGATGCTCGATGAGCTGTCCCACTTCAGAGCAACTCTTCTGGTTGAATGCTCCGGCAACCGGCATCCATAGCATCCAACGTGTCATTGCCATGAAGATGCTAGTATATAAACTTTAAAGACACATTATTACTATGGTGGATAATCAGTACCGGTGGCAAGTGGAGAAACAGGCTCTAATTGGTGGACGCAATAGAAAGTGGTCCATGGGAAAGCCTGCAATATTTTCCTCCAGGAAAACAACTCACGATGCATAATCAAAAGAAACGGGCGATGCAGTGATCAGGTTACGAGTTGGAAGGTACGTCACCGTAGCAAACCAACATCTCAAAAGCAACACAGGAGTGGCAACAGTACCTACAGTGAAAATCAGGCCCGTTTTGTGTTTCAGGGCATAAAAACCGACGGACCTTAGGGCGGTTGTACGGTTGCACCGAGGACACCCAATTTGATAATCCTACCGCTTGTTGACGCTTAATGTATACCGATTTCACCCAGACTACCAAAATTGATTAAATAAGAGCTTAAGGCTGTTCATCATTTTGCCGGAACAATATGCACAAGGGGCAAGGAGTATACGCACATAACAATGTTCCTGACGTGACGCAAACTTTCCAGAATACGGTTCTGGTTAAAAACTGGTATGAGGACCGCTTCCAAGCTGCGGTGGCCTCCGCTTCCGGACGGGAGCAGCCAACAAAGGAACGCGTTATCCACCAAGCACTTCCCGATGGACACCCCGGCCTCTGGGAGACGACGAAAAAAGAATTTGACAAAGCGATGCTTACAAGCCCACCTCCGGTACGTTATTGACCCATCCTTATGCCTTTTAACAGCTCGTTGGGGGCAGGTTACGATGGCATCCAAACTGCATAACAGGCGAATATCAAGAAGCCAAGCATGTATACGGATGGGAACCTGCCGGACCGCCTGAACACCTACGGCCTTGCCGATAGTATCCATTACACGACAGGTGAGGAGGGTGAGGATGCACTTCCAGGACGCGAGAGTTAGCAAGGGCCGTGGGCTTTGCACCGTTGTACAAAAACTGCCCCGCAGTTCCGTGCCCTCCTCCTATCTCCAACCTGCTGTGCCGCCATCAATATCGAAGCAAGCAAACTTGATACCAGAACCCAAGTGTATTCACGGACAGCGCTGCCTCTTTCTACAACTGGACTCCGCATATTGTGAAAAATGCGTTTTGACTCCTGATCTACGGCTACATCCCCTTCAGGATGCCATATCCTGGGCCCCCTTCCGTCTAAGAAGGCGGTTTTCCCCTTACCTGTCCCCTTCTCGCCCGGCTCTTTGCTCGAAGGTCCCAACCCCGCCGCCGAGGCCGCCAAGCCGGCGCCGCGGTACATGACCACCACCAACAAGGAACTCTATGAGGTCAAGCCACAGCAGGACCTTACCGCTCATCCCGAAGCGTTTCAAAGCACCAAGTCACCGTACGGTCTCACGGACGCGCTCACAAAGTCCGTCCGGGGGGAAGCCACGGATCAGTCCAACGTGGTTGGCGGCAAGGGGGCGCGTGGCGAGATCACTCGACGACCTGGCGAGTCGGGCAATGTGTACGGCGTGTCTGTTTTCGTAGATGAATACGCCAAATGGGGGTCAGCACTGAAAGGTATGCCGCTGGAAGAGACGGCGTCGAAGAAGCAGACCAAGTACTTTTGAGCGAGGTGCGGATTTGGTGGGTTGATCGCAGCGTTGGAGAGCAGGAAGGCCACTGAATGCCCTCCACTACAGAGGCCTGAAGTGGAGGCCCTTGCCATTGGGGGGTGTCCTGAGCTGGATGAGGCAGCACCCTGTCCTCGCACAAGACGAGTATGACGTGGATTGCTGAAAGCGAAAAGCTGCAGGAATGTGGTACTTGAGGGCTGGACAGAATAATGGACGGGGACCGATGCACTCAGGCAGGACTCTAGTGGGTGTGATGTGAACAGCATTACAGAGGTTCTGCGCAGTCTAGAGGCTCGGTAATCCCCCAGATAGCACTTTCCATGCTCTCGTGTACAGAGGGTGTACAGAGGGATGCCCGGGCCACTGGCAGGTTTACGGTGTTAGTGTAATTAATGGGTGCGCAGGATTAGTTAGTGCAGGATTGGCCAAGGTTGTGAGGGTATCGCAAGCGAATGTGCATAAAAGATTATGTATATGCGTGGGTAGATAGACCTAGGGCAACTGCAGGGCAACGAAGAGCTGCGGGAAAGAGGTGGCGCAAGTGCGGGAAATGGGTCAGGTAGGCCAGGTGTGCGGCCAGCCACCGCCGTATATATGGACGGAACGTGGAACGTGGGGGCTGGAGCGCACTTGTGGTGTGAATTTTTGTACTTAGTAAGCGCTATCTGTGTACGGTGCACTGGCAGGGGGACCGCGGCGCTCATATTTCAAGTAGTAACTGTTTGGGCAGGTTTCCATTGCGCTGGCGCTAATGTATTCGTGGGCGGGAGGCGACTTTGGGACCTGTCTTGAGGAGCTGGGTGGCAAGGTTAGATTCATCTTCCACTCAGAAAGGGCTTTGCAGCGCCGCGGGTTAAGACAAGACTGTGGGGACATGGGGACGGCCTGCAAGGATATGGCCCCTCCTCTCGGCATGGCACCTTGCGGTGCATGCGTGAATTCTATTTCTGGAGTGCGGTTTTTGTGCTGCCCTAGAGGCGCTGTGTTGGTGTGACCCGGGTCGCCATGATGAGCTGCTGGTTAGTGTGCTGGCTGTTTGTGTTATACGGAATCACTGGGCAGCAAATTACCATCATCCTGGAAGCAAATCAAGCTGCAAGATTGTCCATGTCTGCCTTACATCATCATATCCTTTCAACACCCCTAATATCGTTGGGTCACACAGAGCGAGGCTGAGGCCAAGGATGAACACTAAAGAGAGGAACATTAAGTAATATTGGGAAGTGAGCTCATCACGCTAATGCATGCCTGCGGGCGGGAATAGGCCTCATCTGCGTGGGGATACGGCATGAAACACGGCATGCAACTAAGCCTTACTAAATACTTTTGAAAACTGAAAGATCCGCTCAATTGTTTGTGTATGATGTGCACTAATAAATCTTTAAGTTAGAGCTAAATCTAAAGCCGTTTGCAATCTGGTACTTCCTTCGCTCATGCCCTACAAGAGGAGTCCGCATAATCCAGGCATTTGGCAGTTTACGACGAACTCCGTAAGCTTAAGTAGCATGCGCCACTGTCACTAGTCCGCAGGCGTCCGTCCCGCCAGCTGAGACTTGTCGTTCCTCTGCGTGCACAAGTCGACTTATTTCCGTTATAAATAAGCTTATTGTCTGTCATCATAAAGGCCCTGCATGATTGTCTTGTACTCACCCGACATCACGCCGGATAGGGCGATTATAGGTTGTGTAGGTACTTCCGCAGGAAGATCTAATCATTTAGTAACCGATTTCCGTCCAACATTGGCACAGGATCGCTGTTGACGGTGGCCATTGTAACCATGATGTCGCCAGCAGCGGACAGCCAGCCTTGTGGCGAATTGAATCCAACGCCAGTGGATGGTGGAACTTTGCTGCCCCCATCATCTCCACCTGAGGGTGTGCACTGTACCCTCCAGGGTCTCAGCAGCACCGACAGTTCGCTTATCGCGGATACCTCGCACGTTCAGCAGCTTATCAATCACGGTGCTGATGTAGATGCACCTGATAACAAAGGATGGACTCCATTGCACACGGCGGCATATCACGGTCAAGAGGAAATCGTGCGCATCTTGCTCGCCGCCAACGCGGACGTCAACGCACGGAGCAAAAACGAGGAGACCCCGCTTCATCTTGCGGCAAAGTGGCCCCAGGATAGGGTCGTGGAGGCATTGCTTTCCGGCGGAGCCGACCTTTCGGCGCGCAGTAAGCGCGGCCGCACGCCGGCTCACATCGCCGCGCTCTTCAACCGGCACGCCATCTTAGACCGCCTCCTTAACGCAGGTGAGCCACCCCAGACACCTCTCTGCATCCCATTTCACACCCTCCACGGGACACCTCCCCCATCTGTTGCTTTGTTCCGTGCCTTCAACCCCTCCCCCCTAAAGCTTGCCTCCAGCCACTTTCTCCAGGCAACAGCATACCCTCCACCACAGGTCTGCGCCTCCGCCGCAGACACCCCAGCTCCCTCCCCTCCTGCCTTCCTGATCCTACACGCGCTGACCCTGACGCTGCCACTTCCTCCCCCCCTCCCTGCCGCAGGAGCTGACGTCAACGCACTAGATGCGGAGCAGCAGACGCCGCTGCACCTCGCGGTCCGCGCTAACTGCCCAGTAGAGCCAGAGCTGGTGAAGACGCTCATCCGCCATAACGCCAACTTGGAGCAGATAGACGTCCGCGGGCACACGCCTCTCCATTTCCTGCCCAGCGCGCAGGTGGGGGTAGGTACCGGGCGCGAAGCAGGGGGGTGTAGCCATATGGAACAGGGCCTTGTGTGTGTGACTCTGTGCCCTTGGGGTGGGGAAGAGAAATGGGGGAGGTGGTGACCAGGGCCGGCACCGGGTCGCGGATTAAAGTTGTTGGTGTTGTGTGCAGCCCTTCCACTGCCTCTACTAAATCCGACCCAACCACATGCAGAGCTAAGGGGCAGGGCAGGAAAAGATGCGCTGGGGGATGTTCCTCCTTCCTCTTCCCTTCTCCCCCATTGCAGCCTGCATCATCTCCGTTTATAACCGCCCTCCATTATCCTCCGCTCTGTGTGGCCATCCTATCCCGTTCCGAACTCATCCTCGTACCTACGCGCTCCCTCCCGCCGTCCTGCCTCCTCCCTGGTGGGGCCCACCCTCCACCCGCACACAGGACTGGTTGCACTGGGCGGCCTACGAGGGAAGGGAGCCCCTGATGCAGGTGCTGCTGGCGAAGCCCGGGGTGCGGCCCGACTGCTACTCGGAGGAGGGCCTCACGCCGCTGCACCTGGCGGCACACGTCAACAGCACCAACATGGTGTGTATGTGTGTATGAGGGGGGCCGGGGCGGGTGGCTGCGCGAGGCTTGAGGGAGGGAGGGACAGGGGAGGTGTTTCAGGAATGTGCATAGAGGTGATATGAATGCATGGCGGGTGAGGCGCCTGCTCATTGCGGTCAGTCGGGGGGGGGGAGGGGGGCGCTCGCAAAACGGGGTCGGGCGGGAAATGAGAAGCTCTCGCCCGGGATGGTATATGGTCGAGAGTTGGGAGACGTGATTTCCCCACAGCGCCTAGGTGGGAAAGAAAAGGAGCGCTGGCAGCACGCAAGGCAAGGCAAGACTAAGTCCTCCAGGATTAGGATTCTGATGTCTACCTAGGCGGCCGTACCCTAGGTGTCCTAAAGCTCGTCCAGTGCGGAACCGTGCAATACTGGACGAGCAGCAGCAAAGGGTTGTTCTTGGTGTGCCTGCTGGAGATGAGCTGCTGCTTAGGAGCATCGCTCACGAAGAGCTGCTCACGACGTGGCGTGGCGTAGTGCGCTGTCCGGAATCCCGCAAGAGTCCTTGGGTGAGGGGGAAGGGCGCCCAGCCACCGCGACATGGTCACATGGTGGACCTGCTCCGGTCCCTTCGCGGCGCTACCGCTACGGCTACCGCTGGTGTGGTGCTGCTGCTGCTGCTGCAGGTGACCATGTTGCTGAACGCGGGGGCAAAGGTCAACGCACCTTCGCAGCCGCCCGCGAAGACCAGCGGTGAGCTGACTCGAACCCCGGGGAGGGAAAAGCGGTGGGGAACGGGGCGGCGCGCGGGGGGAAGGGCATTGGGGCTAAGATCTGGATCTAGATCTGGATCTGGGTTTAATGGCGTATCCGCAGGCCGACCTCCGGCACGCAGCAGCCGTTGTCGCGGCAATCGCGAGCTCCGCCTTCACCCCAGATCCCGGTTCGCAATTGTATCGTTTCTTTTCAAAGTTGTTGTTGTTCTCGAAAGTGCGCACTTTAATCGGGTGTTGAGGTGTGTGTGATGTATGTATGTATGTATGTGAGGTCGCATCCGTCTAGCACAGCCTCCATCCTACAGAACAGCACTGGAACCACCGCAACCGCCTCAACGCTGTGTGAGCAGGCAAGGACAGCAGCATGTACGGCATCCCGCTCCCCGGCGCCCCTGGATCCATCACCGCCGGCATCTCCATATCCTCCCAGCTGAAGGCGTACGGCAGCTCCAAGCTGCCGCCAGGCGAGCTGACGGCGCTGCACATTGCGGCGGAGCGCGGCTCTGCGGAGCTGATCCGAGTGCTGGTTGGGGCGGGCGCCAAGGTCAACATCCAGGGGGAGCGGGGCATGCCTCCGCTCCATGTGGCGGTGTGGGAGGGCAACACGGCGGCGGTGGTGTCGCTGCTTGCGGCCAAGGTGAGAGTGTGCACTCACTGCATGTCGGTGTATGGGTTTGGGGGGGAGGGCGCACTTTCACGTTTGGTCTTGTGTAATTGTGTGTCACTACGAGCCGCGAGAGGAGGGAAAGGCGACAAGCTGGAGGGGTCCAGGGTGATAGTATGTATGTATGTGTCCTCCCTCCCTCCGTATCTCCACTTGTCCCCCAACGTTCCCCTTCGCCTCTCTCTTCTCGCCCTATCCTTAGGCTTCCGTGTCTCTGAAGAGCAAGGCGGGCGGGTTCACCTCCGTGCACTGCGCCTGTCTGTCCTCCCGTGCCACCCCCGAGCTGTTGGCCCTGCTGCTGGACAACGGCGGTGCGGCCGTGATTGAAGAGCGCTGCCAGGAGGGCTGGACGGCTCTTCACTTGGCGTGTCAGTCGGCACCTCCCGCCATGGTGGAGCTGCTGCTGGCACGGGGCGCACGACCCACTGCAAAGGGCAAGAACGGCCGCACTGCAGCGGACTGCGCGGCCAAGCGGCCGGAGATCTTGCAGCTCCTGCACGTGTACACCGGCGGAAAGGTGCCGCTGCCGTACGGCGTAGGGCTGCCGTCAATGGCGGCGGCGGCAGCCGCTGCTGCCGCCAATGGGTTGCTGGCGCCGAACGGCGGCAGCTCCGCTGCTGGAGGCGGCGGGAG